AACAATTTTAACGAAAAATTCATCTTCAAAACGGCGTTCATCATAGAATGATACTGTACGAACATATTTAAATATTTCACCTGGAAAATTATTTGTTATATCATCGTAATATTTCCATTTATATGGATATGAATAAATACGATAATGACCTTTTTTTCTTTCTGGAAAATAATCAGCCCAATAGATAATTTGTTTATCGTTAAAATCTCTAAATGTCTTTTGAATATTTTCATTCGATGGTAAATTAATTTCATTATAAAAACTACTTAATGAACGAATATTAAATGTGAATTTGTTTAATTGTGACATATGATCAATAATATTCATCTTCAAATCATTACCATCAAAAAATGTTTTTCTTTCGCCAACATTAATGTACAAATCAAGTTTTTCTAAATTTATCATTCGATGTAAAAGTGGTACAACTAATTCATCATAAACACTTGTCATCGAATTACATTGTAACCGAAAGCATTTTAAAGTAGGTAGTTTTTTCTAGAAGAAAAAAAACAATATTATTAATTCCTTTAAATTAGATATTAATTAAAATAATCTACCGTATTGTTGACTCTTCTATTCGAAGAGAAAATCACACCAACATCAACATAAAGTGTACGAAGTTGATTGAAATGTCCATTAAGTAAATAAAGACAATCATAAAAAGTTTCCAAGCAGATATGTAATTCTAATAAATTTGTAGAGAAAACAGTTGGACGTGTCATACAAAAGAATAATCGTTCATCGTAAAGTGAAGACCGACCAAAATTTAAACTTTGTAAATTAGTGAACATAGCAAAGATAAGATTAAATATAATTGCGTTATTATTTGATTGGCAACCTTGTAATCCCTGTGTACTAATGTCGATAGTTAATGATAAAAGTTGATTTTTCAAGGTAGAAATTACAGAAGTTTCATCTAAACAATGAGAATATTTTAAAAAATGGATTAAAAACTATTTTATATGAATGCTTAAATAGAAGTTTATATATTCTATCCTTTTTTTAATATTGATATAATTAAAATATTTGATTTTCTTCTTCAGATTTACTTATTCGTTTATATTGCATTTTAAATGTTATATTATATCTGCTATTATCTATTTTATTCTACATTTTCTTTTTCAAAAATTCTTTTAAAACTTTAAATTGGAGACCATATCTATGCCTTTTATTTTGTATATAAGTACTTACGTTTCATGGAAACGTCATCTCTTTCATGACAACCTTCTTCTCTTCATACTAACAAATACGAATCAAATGAAAAATTATTTTGAATTTAGTAACATCTGTAATCATCTAATTAATGAAAGTCTATCATCGGAAGAATAAAAGTAAAATATCTTACTAGTCAAAAGATCCATAGCTGTTTTTGGTTGAATATTATATAAACTAATTGCATATAGATTCGGATAATTTGTAGCAAGAAGAATACGTTCCATTGATCCTGATTCAAGATGAAGCCATTCGATTTTTTGATGAATTTTAGGTAAAATATGTGAAAAAAATCGATCAAGTATTGAATCAGGTAACGAATAAACCAAACCATTCGATGTATACATCAGAAGGGGCAAGTCATTAGTAAAAACAGATTCATGTAGTATTTTGTTTAATCGTTTATTGACACCTAATAAAGAATACAGTACTTCCGTCTTAGGCAATTTTTTAAAAATAATCATAAGAATTTCATCAGGTAAATCATTCAATTGAACATATGAATATTTCATGTTCATCTATATCTATTTTGCTCATGTTATAAATGTCAGTATTTATATCGACATACTCATATGTTCTATCTGACCGATATCGCGTCAATGTAAACAAAGACAAATTTTTGTGTAATCTAAATTGACGATGAATGAATGGATAACCGATCGAATAATTTTTTTTTCTCTCTGTTCCCTCAATTAAAGGGAGGATCATACGGAAAAAAAAATTAATGCATTTGTATATAATCATCAATTGACCTAAATATAATGGAATTTTTTTTCTTTAAAGAATACTTCTTCATCAAATTAAGCTTCAAAAACATTGACAACAATCATAAAACCTAGGGTGGGTGTGGGGTGTGAGTGTGGGCGTGGGTGGGTGTGAGTGTGGGTGTGGGTGTGTGTGTGGGTGTGGGTATGAAATCAATACCAAAATCCACACCCACACCCACACCCACACCCACACCCCACATCCACACCCACACCGACACCCTCACCCACACTAACACACCCCACACCCACATCCACACCGACACCCTCACCCACACTAACACACCCCACACCCACATCCACACCCACACCGCACACACCGATACCCTCACCCACACTAACACACCCCACATCCACACCCACACCGCACACACCGACACCCTCACCCACACTAACACACCCACACCCCGACACCCACACCCCACACCCCACACACCGACACCCACACCCACACCGACACTCACACCCACACCGACACCCACACCCACACCGACACCCACCCACCCTAAGAGATCAATACCGCATAAACATGGTAGATGGCGCTACCTTACTTCATTTGTAACCAATTGTAACAAGATCTAATGAAACATGTTGAAAATANATTTGATGCACAAGTAAAGCCGTTACATGGTTCCAGCACAGAACATAATACACCAGGTGCACAGTAATGAGTGTTGTTTTGTGTAACATAATCAAAACAAGCTATTGATTCTGCACGACAAGGATTACTGCTATTCCAATTCACATCACATCGTTGTAAAGCACAGTTTGTGTTTGGTTGTGATGCAGAGTGAGGCGAAGAAGAGTCTAGCATTCTAAAACTATCATCATTTTCAGTGCAATAGTATTCATTTTGTTGTGTTATTTGAACTAAAAATTGTGTATATCAGACATTAATAAAATAATAACAAACAATAAATTAGTTAACCTTGTATACATGATAAGACAACAATGAAAAGTAACGCTGTTTCAAATCGCATGATTAGTTTTTTTTCTTGATGATGAATGACATACGTTTTTATAGCACTTTCTTTCTTTTTTTTCTCTCCCACATCGTTTTCAAAGGCTCCCGCTCATTTTGAAGGATTCAGAATATACAGAGCTGTATAATGCTAAATCAACATCAATATTGGATTTGCCGGTTTCTCGAGAAAAAAGCAGGCTCGTTGATGCTTTTTCGTTGCTCTGGTGGCGGTGGAAAAAAAGAGAGTATGGTAAGGCATGTTAAGGTTTTGTTTATTTTCATCCTAAATCTGACTTTTTTAATTTCTTTCTTGGTGAATATATATTTATTCAATAGTCATTACATATATACATATATAATCTCTCTAGATGTAAACGTATATGGAAAAGAGAAGAATCGTCTATCTATAGTAGATGGCGACCGTGACAAGACATTTAGTTTGATTTTATTATTGGACTGTTATTTCAAGTTTATTGATGTTACGGCACAAGATTGACTAATTTTTGATTATTTTCCCACTCTCATTATCGAAGGATGTAGAATAATTGTGTTTTGACTGGAAGAGGAGGGGGGAAGCGATACAAGTATTATTTCTATTGAAGAGCGTTCGACAAATATGAGCAACAACTGTAGAGAAAGTGATTGTTATTAAAAAATTTTAATTTGTGATTGAAGTCACAGAAATCACTGAGGGTGTTGGTGGGTGTGGGTGTGGATGTGAATGATGGTGAAGAAGTAATATTATGCACACCCACACCCACCCACCACTTATTTTATTTATTTATCTTTAACTTCAGAGACAATGCTGAGATTGAGAATGACATACAGTTCCTGAATCGCATTGAATCTCCCGAACCGGATATAATTCCAAAATTTGAAGGAACTCGATCGTTTTCGAATAAGGTGAGTTAGTTCGACAATTAGGACTTCAGCAATGTACAACATCGCGGAATGAGGTAGATTCTCCACCAGGACGAATGATTGTTTGCCTTGAAAGAATTTCTCTTTTTTTTTCTTCACAATAACTTATTCAACAAAAGGTAAGAAATGGTACACTAACATTTGCTGCATCGATATTTACTAGAAAAAAGGATACCTTTTTGTATTTGAACTATCTGTATTACTTTCTGCAAAGTTAAGAGATATAGTTTTCCTCTGTACCGATTGATTGAAAACTATTGAGTGAAAATAAACTACATTTACATTGGCACCACTTCTCGAAAACATTATTGATCATGGTTTGACCTCGATAAACGATAAAAGATTTTTTTGGGTTGGATTTTGAATAGAGTTGATTGATTTTTTATAACAATCATGTAGAAAGAAACTCGTGCGTATTTATTGTTTCAATGTCCTACATTTGCAGAGCTTGTTTCTTTATTTCATAAAGGAAACACGAACGTTTATACCACGACATGGATAGATAACTTTGATAGCTTCTTTGAATTCATCAACCGTTTCTAATGCCTTCATATTATTACCATAGAAGTCACGAAATAAAGCTAGAAATTTTTTTTTTCATCTTTATCATATTGAGTAAAATCTCTTTTAAAAGTTTTGTATACATGTATGATGGATGAAGTTCATTCAAATTTACTTTCGAAATATTAATATTAGAAATAATGCTGGCTGATATGAGTTTCTCTGCACATCGATGGATGTCATTTCGAAGCGAATCATTTATAGAGCTAATATTCATATGTATGCTCTGAACGTTATTGAATTTTTTACTCGATGGATTATTTTTTATTTGGCAATGGTAAAATACATAGTTAGAATAAATTTTTGGCTGTAACAATCGAACAGAACGTGTTGGTTGTTACTCTTCCGTGTTAAACATACCCGTAATATCTTTTCTATTTATCCACACCTTCATCTTTGTTTCCTTTCTGTATGTACATTTTATCGTACCATATTCCTTTTTGTTCGTTCTCCTTCCATATGTACGATATCCTTGTCTTTTACATAGTGTTGCCTATAAAAGGAATAGCAGTAAAATCTTCCTATGTCTTTCTTCCCTTACATGGAATTGCACCATTAATTTGTTGTTCTATCATAAATTGTAACCGCGAGCTAATCTCTGACTTTTTCCTTAAACGTATATTTTTTTGTTATTGTGTTCACTGTATTTTTCAAGATCCTTCTATGCTCAGAAATAGTATATAAGAAACAAGACAATGACATGTTCTTCGTTGAGATTGAATTCAATGATCTTTGAATCTAATAGAATCAGACTGTAATTATTAGTATTGTGTTCGAATCGTTGATTAATGAAATCATATTTCGATGATGTTATCATTGTTAATAGTCAATGGCATAAGAGTTTTTTTTGCTAAAACGAACGTTATTTATTGATTTCTTCCGATTGCTATAAGAATCTTTTTTTCTATTTTGTTTGAAGTAGGAAATTGGTTACTTCTTGTGAAATAACAAGTTAATGTCTTTTAAATAACAAGTATTTTGTACGGCATCTAATCTTGATTCAATCAATGACGTTCTTTTGCTTTAAAGTGAGCGAATTGTGGACTCGTCAAAAATGATTTGATTGACAGTTTAGAATTTAGTAAATATGAAAAAGAAAACCTTCAATACAGCAAACACAATGAATAATTTTTTTCCTCTGTGGGGACAAATATACATAGATGTGGGTGTGAGTAGGGGTACAAATGTAGATGAAAATAAGAGCCCCACCCACACCCACACCCTCGAATTTACACGACTTCAGTTTTCAGTACGGCTTGCCTTCGCAATGTCTATTAATAAGGCTCAAGGGTAATCACTTAAAGTTGCTGGTGTCAATTTAGAAACTCCTTGCTTTTCTCATGGTCAACTTTATGTGGCATGCTCGAGAGTAGGAACTGGAGAGAATTTATATGTTTTTGCTCCAGATGGAAAAACGAAGAACATCGTGTACAAAACAGCTTTACAATGAAAACTTCTATTTTGCTGTTTTTTTGCTTGGAAGAAGTTCATCAGTAAAAATATAAAAAGGAAAAAAGTCTATAACGGCTTTAATGTGTTAAATATTAAAATTAAAAAAGAAAAGATTCGAGTGTAGCTTATGATATTGCAGATGAATAGCTGTTGAGGACTGTGGCAACATTGTATTATCATCCGTGAGATATATGCTATCGTATCATCTCCATACATCGGGTACCTCCGCTAGTAATATATAAGAACATTTAATTTTAGTTGAATAAGAATTAAAATAATTTACTATTTTGATTATTTATTTTTTCTTCATTTTGTTCTATTGTTGCCATATTATAAATATCAGCCTATGCACGAAATACAACTAAATTTTCAATTGTTAATACATTTTTACTATAAATCATCGATGTATCATTTTTATATTGTTGAATCGAAGTAAATTTTTGTAATGATGATACTAATAATTAATGTACACGTCGAAGATCATTTAAATCATGTGCAACATCACTTGATATTCATGTACTGCATACATTACATATTGTGCTATTACATGTGATAATGTATCTTGTGAAAAAATTGATTGTAGTGCCATACCAACATGTACTTGATATTGTTTAGGAGATAACATGACCAGATAAATCAATATCATTTTCAACATGAATAAATTTTAAAATAATTTATTTAAGTAATGATAAACCAGATAAACATAATTGATTACTTGTTGATGTACATGACATGAATGAAATATGTAATTAAAGTATTCAAATGTACAACAAGATAATCTTCATTTGGATATGTTTGAAGACATTCTTTAGCAGCTATATAATCAAAATGAAGATTTGATGATGGTGTTTGTTCATAAAAATTTATTAAATTTTTTATGCAATCAGTAGCAAATATTTTTGTTGAAATTTAGCTGATGATGTTGCACGACATATTGTATTTTGATTATGCGATGTTTTTAATTGTTCATCACCATCTGTATCAGTATAATCAGCATCATCATCACCTATAGGACGTGAACAAGGTTTAGAATAAGATGATGATGATGATGATATTATAGTAGTTGCCATCGTAGACGTTTGTTGCTGTTGGTCGGTTTCAGAAGATGGTCCAATACCAAATGTTTCTAGATTATAGAAAAGGTTATTATGTCTTATGAGGAAACATTTCTACACCATTTCATCGTATATTTTAAATGCAAGCAGGACTCCGTGAGACTGAAAAGTGTCTGAACGGAGATCTCATTATCTTTAAAATTGAAAAAATAGACTTTCCAATGTGTTTGTGTTCTGTAAATTTGAACATAAAAGTTCCATTTAATATTCAATTGTGAATTGTTTTCACTGAAAAAATTTGATTAATAGCAAGAAACGTCCTTTCATTTCATGCTTTTAATGTCGATGTGTCTTATATTGGATCCCATTTTCGATAAGTATTGGTCCTATTAACTCATTTTTTCTGTTCCTGTATATGTGCACAAAATTGAGAATATCATATTGTTTTATATTTCATTATGGATTCGATTTAATAATTTAGCTTGGCTTTGATCGATCCATTGAGTGAAAACGATTCGAGATCGTAGTATTAAATGAAAACTCTGCTAAAAATTATAGATTATAACTATATAAAAGGACCGAAAAAGTTGAGAAAACAGTCTAGTTTTTTTGAACTCTTGTGATAATCAAATCTCCATTCACGGATCTGAATCATTTCAAGATTTTCTTAGTCCCATCGAGTCTTGGTTGTACCCAAAATATAGGATCAAATGGCGACCGATAGTCGGGAATGTTCCTTCGTTAGTAGGAAACAGACATAATCTAACATACATGTATGACGTCAATTGTTTATTTTAAACTATGAAATATTTAGTATCGATGAGTATTAGACTTTCTTATAGTGGTTAAATTCAACAACGGGATTCTATGAACGCTTGGAAAATTATTTTCATCATTAGGACAAGTAAAAGAAAAAAAATTAGATTATTTCTTAGTTTGATCTGTATTTTGTTTTTGAAATTTAATGTATTGAAATATTAGGCGTAACAAGTTGAACAGCAGAAGTATTAAAAGAATTAACAACTATTCTTGATAGTCATCTTAAAAATCATTTTGAACGTAAAAATGAACGTGCTGAAAAATGACGTGACGAAGATTATGATGAAGAAACTGAAGAAATGCTTGAAGAAGATGATTTTGATGCATATATATTAAATCGTTTATCAGATATTATTCATTTACTTCTGGTTACATACACAGATTCATATTTGATTTGTTTTGACACATTAATACCATATTTTTATGGACTTATACAACTAATACGTTCAATATCAGATCATCAGTGGGCATTATGTGTATTTGATGATATCATACAATTTACTGGTGCACATTCACATTGTTATGCATATTTTTTTCTTTCATGTATGACTGAAAATCTTGTTGACTCATTACCTGAAGTAAATTTTTATATAGTTTTATGATCATCTTTCTTTTAATTATTTATTTGAAGACTCGTCAAGCAACTGCATATGGATTTGATGTAATGGGAATGAATGATGGTCAGGTTTATGCACGTGCATGTGCTGAAGTATTTCCTCGTTTATTTGCAATGATTGGAACATCAGATAGTCGTGTACCAGAAAATAATACAGCAACTGAAAACACAATTAGTGCAGTTACTAAAATATTTAAATATAATAATTTATGTGTGGATAATCTCATTAAAGTAAAATTGTTTTATAAAAATCCAAAACAACACGAAGATTCTGTTTGACTTGTAGTTTCATCAAGTTTGGTTTTTTTGGCTTCCTGCTCATGAAAACACTGAAGAAATACCATATGTTTATGGTTATTTATATGATTTAATTGAATCGTATGTTTGAAAAAAATTGAAAAATTTTTGTTTTAGAAAAGTTTTGTTTTTTTAGAAACAATCCGGTGATTATTGGACCAAATAATTCGAATGTACCGAATGTGATCAAATTATTTGCTAATGCATTCGCTGAATTATCGAATGAATTAAACTCAGTTGTTGGTCAACGTATGGTATTCATTTTACGACATGTTCAAGTTTGTTTCTCTTTCTTTTGTCGAATAAATGAAAAATAAATTTGATTTTTAGATAATTCCATCGATTTTTCAAATATATATGAATGCTTTAACAGATGAAAAACGTTAATCATTAGCCAATGCCTTAAATTCAGCCACATCTCTACAAAATCATCATATTGAATCTACAAATTATATAATGAATCATCATGCTAGGGTTTAAATTAAGCAACTTTTATCGATATTTTTTTTTTCTCTTCTATTTTGTTATAATCTCTTCTTTCTTTTTTTCTTATATTTGTTGCCTGGTTAGACACAAGAAGAAAAAACAACAACAAAGGGAAAAACCTAATCGGCTAATCTCTTTAATTGATTATTCAATATGATTAGATTGAATAGAGTCTTATACCTATCGATACTCTTCTCTTGCTTATTTTCAATTCAACATATATATTCTCACTAAAATACGTCAGCACATAAAGGAGAAATTGTTTTGCTATTTTTTACAAAATATATCTTTTAGTACGAGATGGTCAGTTGACGTCAATGATGATATTCAGATTAAAGAAATTTCGTTTAAATAATTATTATATTTGAAATTCATCTAAATGCTAATTGAAATCAATAATACATCAATCGATATTCAATTGAATTTATTGAAATAGTGTGATTTAAAAAAACATAGAATAAATGTATTTTCATCATATGTGTGTACATACAATTGATCTGTTTCTATTTTTAGCTATTGCAGATGAAAGAATAAAAATCTCGTACAAATATCATTGTCTTTCATCCACCTTGATAAATCTATATGTGTATATATATATATATATAAAGAGACAGAGTGATTAGGTCACTGACCGATGAACCTCAGGGAAATAAAATCTATGTGGTCTGTCGATCATAACACTTTTCTTATGACGTCATCGCCATTTACCTTGTTCTTCATCGGCTTTTCGGCTTCATTTGACCTTGCTATATAAAATCGCCATTGTGCTTACATTCAATAGCAGGAAAAAGAGATGCAAGACACTTGAAAGCAGCTGCTTGTTTTCATTCGTTTATAAATAGTATAAAAAAAAAGAAGAAAATGAATGTGTATATTAACATTGTATTTACAAGATATTTCAAAGGAGGAACTCAAATTATTATGAGAAATCACCAGACTGTAAGGCATTACTGATCATCAAAGAATGTTGAAATATAATTATAAGAGAGGTTGTACAACGAACCGATGCAAATGTGAACAAGGAAAAATGTTATGTAGTTTTCACTGTCATCATTGAGCAACATATAGCAACAAATAAATTATGTATCAAACTGTGCCTATCTAGTTTTATCATTACGAAAATCCTCGATGATCTATCTTACCAAACTTAGAATTTCAGTGATGTTTGAACTTGTCGTAGTTGTAATTTCAACAAACAGATTAACTTGATATGCGACATATCTATAGTTACCATTTCGACAATAAAGGGAGTAGTTCAGCATTGATTAGAGGCGGTGCCAGAATTTTTAGTCGGAAAAGGAGAATTGAATCTCTCCAGATTTTTGGTTGGAGGAATTCAATCCCTTAAATTTTCTTTCGCAGAGAAAAATCATCAGTTTTTTGCGAGAGTTTTAAAAATTCTGAAAAGTGGAGAGCTCACATAGTTTTGGGGGAAACTGAGTATCCCTCTGGCGCCACCATTAGCATTGATCTGCTGGATCAATCATTCGTTAACATCGAGATTGTTTCAAATGCAGAAGCAGATTGTAACGACAAACGGGGTGAAATAAGTTTACCACTACTCTCGCTACGATATTTATTGACTACCCAATATATCCAGAAATGTCGCCAATTCACATATATCACACACTTATATATGAAAGAGAAAGGAGATTAAGCATAAAGACGAATACCGAGAAGATAAGAACAGAAGGAAAACAGAAGAAAGAGTACTTGACCATATATCATTCAGAGAGAAAAATCAATAACAGTACACCAACTTTTCTGATTTTTCGATCGTAAAATTTCATCGAATCAAATTGATTTGAAAAGGTTAAGGAAATCTGCCTTTTTGTTTGTCAAAAATGACTGTAATCATATTAAAATCGTCTCATTTTGATCAATTTTTAATAAAATAATAAGTGATGTTAAACTAGTTTCTTCATATGGCTTACGCTTTATTTACTTACAATTGTCTTTGTTTTGTTTGGTTGCTTATTTTTTTTTTTTGCCTGAAATTAACAAAGATCACTATAAAAAGATAAGTATTTCTATTCATATATTGGACTATTTCTGAAGGTCAGAAAACAAAAAAAGACTGTAATAAATCGCATACTCAAAAAAGAGTTAAGAAAATGCTGTCATCTCTCGGTGTCCTGTATAACAATACGACAGAGTAAGAAGACGATTTCTGAATTCTTATGAGAACAGGATAGAAGGCAAGCGTGTTTACTCTGTTAGGGAACATTTTGACAACTATCCATTCACTAATTATTATTAGCACTAGCCATAATGAATAATTAGAGGGTTAGTGCAAAGTCTCGTTCTCATTCTATTGAATTGATATAATAAAAATAAAATCTATAGATTATTAATAATATCCAGATTTTTAATTTCACTAAACGAAACATTTATATATAAATAGGAATTAAGTTTATATCCTAGTAACCCTTTACTCCCCAATGTCCATTGGCGTGGGCATTAGTATATAGATTGAAAAAATTAAACGATGCATAGAATTTAAAAATTTTAACATTACTTTTTGTAGTAAACTTGATGAGCTATCAATTGTTCAAAAGAATATTTTCTGTCATCGCTCCATCTCCGAAATATTGACCTCATAGAATCAATCATTTTGAAAAACTCGTACTCTTTCAAATAAAATATTTTCTACCCACAGACAGTGAAAATCTTTCGAGCTTGCTATGTGATATAGACTAACAAAACGACCTACTAGTAAATGAAATATGTTTCCACAGCTTCATGGTAACCTGATGGTGTACAGAAAATAAGACATAATGGATCATGTGATCGCTATTGGACAGATGGGGCATAATTAAGAGCAACGTGTAAGTGTATTTTATAGACCTCGTCACATAAGAAGTTGAAATACAATTTATCATTATTTGAATGTCTTCATTAGTCATATTATGGCTCAAAAAAAAGATAGATTTGTATTCAAAAATATACGTGAAAAATAGATGTCTTCCTGAAGTATAGTTTTTGTGCCTTCAATACATATACTCCAATATTATTTTAGTACGATGAGATAGCTGAGAGTTTTTCATAATCAATACCGTCATCAAAAGAAAAAACATTATGACTTTTCTAGTAGTTTGACCTCTATTCTCTACCCCTATGATCATAGTAATTATCGGGAAGCCCTGTATAAAGAGCAATGTGTCCAATTGATATGATTACATCATTGGCATATTAGAGACATTATTATTCCATTTTTATGAATATTTTATTACTGGCTCCTCTGGAACCGATGTGGGAGTAAAGTGTTAAGATCTTAATGTCTCTAATGAACTGTCAATGAGAATCAGACAATGTTCTATTTTCAAGATCATCGCGACAAAGTATCAACTTTAAACATATCATTAAAGGAAAAGCTGAATGCATTCGAGCATTACTTGACTGCAAAATACAGTGCGAAGCATGAATATTGATAAACCGAATAAATCTAAATTTGAAAACGAAAACTAGTAATCCATACTAGGATTTATCCATAGAGTTTGATGGAAAAGGCAGAAAAGAAAAACGCTGAATAGGAAAATGCCGAAGAAAAAGTAGAAAAACATCGAAAAGGAAAATATAGAACATAAAAATATCGACATGGAAAATGGCGAAAGAAAATATATTGCAAAGCACTTATTTAAATCATCTTATTTATCATTTTTTCTCATCAAATCAGCTGAATTTCATAAACTGCAGTATCTATAGTCACTTTTTCATAAAGTAAACTCAACAATTAAGTATAACTGTAAGATAAACCCCTATCTACACTCTTGAGCGTGAGGATGTTATAAGAGACTGTGAATACGCATCTATTACTGTACTTATACTGAATTGTTGAGTTTCATTTCTGAAAAAATGGCTATAGATACTACAGTTTATGAAATTCAGCTGATTTGACAAGAAACATTAACAAAATAAGATGATTTGAATAAGTATTTTGCAACATGTCTTTTTTCGAAATTTTCCATTTCGATATTTTCACCTTCTATTTTTTCCTTTTCTATATTTTTTTATTTACTTTTTCTTCGGTATTTTCCTATTCGACGTTTTTCTTTTCTGCCTTTTCCGTCAATACCTATCCAGAAATGCTACTTCAAAACAATAATTGTTTTACTCAAAGCGAGTTTTTTGTCAATTGTATGCGTCAGACTATCAATCTTTTTAACACCGACTACAACATCAGTCACATTCAAAATCTAATCTACATCCAACATCTTATATCGACACATCGTTCAATTCAATTAAAAATTATTTTCATTTCAAAGTTTCAATTTTTACTTGCAAAAAAAAAACAAAAAGTTGCAGTTTCTTTTACAGTTTATTAAAAAAAAAACAATTCAACATGTTTTGTTTTATAATTTATTTTATTCTAATGTATGATAGCAAGTTCTTCTAACATAATTAGTCTATTATTATATCCAAACTTCAAAACTATGATTAGAACATCGTAAGCGACAAGGTCGACTAAGTGGATATTGATATAGTTCTCGTCGAATTAAATGTGGAAAATAAGGTGTATCAGAATGAAATATATTACAAAAGCTTATTCGAAGCCAAACAAGTTCTTGTAAATAATTAACAAGCAAATAAATAAGATTAACAATTCTTTTTGTACATTTATTTTTTCCATCTTTAATTCGAGATGGTTTCCATCGCCAGTGACTATATGAATCACATATAGTAAATGAAAGTGTTTTTAAATTAATAAATTGCTTCGACAGCAATGTGCAAAAACGTTGAACATTTTGTAATGTGCATGATGCATCGTAGATGGTCAGTGATTTTATCTAATCAATAGAAAATATAGTTTATTTATCGTAGAAAAATGAAAATAGATTTTAATTATCTAATACATTTCAATTTTAAGAAATCTAGAAAATTTACTTAAAACAAAAGTAATA